TCAAGGCCCAAAACAAACCTTTCATATGAGACAGGGGTTCACCAGTACATCAGTCAACTTTGTCTACTGTATCCGCTACTCCCGATGTGTCCTCCTCTACAGTGAGACCAAGCATAGACTCGGAGACAGTTTCTTACAGCATCTGCGCTCTGTACGCGACAAACACCACCACCTTCCAGTTGCCAACCACTTTAACTTCCCCTCCCTCGATGTTGTGTCCATCCTGGGCCTCCTTCAGTGTCACGATGACACCACCCAGAAACTGAGGGAGCAACACTTCATATTCCGCCTCGGGAAGCCTACAGCCCGATGGCCTAAACATGGAATTCACCAGTTTTAAAATCTCCCCACCCCAGCCTCATCCAATGTCCTACCCTCCCTCTCATCCCCACCTACTTGAACTGACACAACTTGTCCATCTTTTCTCCGACCTATCTACCCCACCCATTCCACTGACCAATCCCCACCACCTCCCTACCTGCTGTCACTTATCACCATCCCACCTCCACCCCTCCTCTCTCTACTTCCCAGCTCCCTTACCATCCCCTCCCCATTTCTGAAGAAGGGTCCCGACCCGAAACATCAACTTTCCTGCTCCTCTGTTGCTGCCTGGCCTGCTGTGTTCTTTCAGCTCCACACTTATCTATGACTCCAGCATCTGCAATTCTTGCTATCACTGTTACCAGCCTTCTTAAAAGGCCAAGAAAGCCACTCAGTTGTTTTTTTCACTCTTTATTCGTTCAAAGGATGTGGGTATCACTGGCTAGGTAGCAGTTATTGCCCAGAGGGTAACTGCTGTGGGTCTGGAGTCACATTTAGGCCAGACCAGGTAAGGATGGCAGTTTCCGTCCCTCAACCAGAAGGGTTCTTTCCAACAGTCGACAGTGGATTCATGGCCATCGTTAGACTCTTACTTCCAGATTTTTTTAAAATTCAAATTTCTCCATCTGCTGTGGCAGGATTCAAACCCAAGTTTCCAGAACGTTACCTGGGTCTCTGGATTAACAGTCCAGCGATATCACCACTAGGCCATTGTCTCCCCTTATTGTGTCTAAACGCTACCAAGTTTGAGTAAATAAAAGGAACCAGTGTCCAAAGATGTGCAGGTAAGGTGGATTAGCTCTTCGGAAGGACGGTGTGGACCTGATGGGCCAAATGGGTTGTAAGGAATTGTATACCATAGAGATTCTGTGATTCCAGAGGTATGATGTGAAATTGACTAAGGCTCTGGAAATGACCATGGCACACAGCCCAGCTGACATTGTAAAGTTCGCCTTAGTAGGTGAGGGATTGGGCCAAAATTGGGAGAGCAGTCCCACAGAAAAGTCAAGCAACAACTTGACATTGTGTCCGAGATATGCTTCCGTACTACTACGACCCAGGTGCCACAATCACCATTGCCCACTGGCAGAACAGACTCAGCGGAGTAGTATACAGAGTCAGGAGAGAGAGTTGCCCTAAGAGTCCTCAACATTAACTTCAATCCAATGAAGTCAGATCAAACATAGGAACAAATTCTCCCGTTGATTACCACCTGCCACGGCTTGGGTTTGCCTGGCCCATGTGGCTCTTATCTTTATTACAGCTTTGGCTCAAAAATGGACAAAAGCATAAAGGAAGTGAGGGTGCCTGTGCTTGACATAAAAGGCCTGGGAAGGTGGCTTCATGTCGTGGAAAATTATTAGGGCTAGCGAAAAAAGCCTGGGGAGCCACTCCTAATCAGGAACAGCTGAGAGTGAGGTGAGGAAAGCCCACAAACAATATTTATTTGAAGCAACTGATAAAACGGAGCTAATAAAAAGTCAGCAATGGCTTGATGATTACTGCAAGTTTCAATTTTTAATCAGATGTCTAGGAGCATTCTCAGGAATTCTTTGGAACTCTGTTTCAGAAGAACTACTAAGACGTATGCAATCACTGAGGCAGTCCGAGTCAGAGGTTTTGAACATTCTGAATCTAGATTTTCAAAAGTGAAGTACTGGAGTTCCTTGCAAAGGAGATAGAGTTTTAATGAGATTTCGTGACTACAAATGTTACAAACATCTGTAGGATCTGTTTTAAGCATTTGACCATTTAAAGTGACCTATGTGGCAAGTTTGCCCATAGTTTGTTAATTCACATTTATGTTGGTTAATACTGGATGTTAGAGTCTAAGCTGTGTTTTGTTGACTAATTCACAATCGTGGGCATCACTGGCTCGGCAAAGAACGAGAGAAAGAAGATAAGTACAGCATAGGAACAGGCCCTTTTACCCCTCCATACTAAAACTGTCTTCACTTACAGGATCTGTATCCCTCTATTCCTGGGGCGCCACAGTGGCTTAGTGGTTAGCACTACTGCCTCAGTGCCGTGAACCTTCGGGCAACTGTGCAAACTCCACACAGACAGACATTCTCCCGTGTCTGTGTGGGTTTCCGCTGGGTTCCTCTTCCTGTCCAAAGATGTGCTGGCCAGGTGGTTTGGCCATGCTAGATTGCCTGTAGTGTTCAAGGATGTGTAGATTGTGTGTGTTAGCCATGGGAAATGCAGGGTTATAGGGAGGAGTGCTCTTTGGAGGGTTAGTGTGGACTCGCTGAGCCAAAGGGCCTGTTTCCACACTGTAGGGATTCTATGATTCTATTCCCTTCCTATTCATCCAGGTACATCTTGAATGCTGCTATTATGTCTGCTTCCACCACCGCCTCTGGCAGCGCATTCCAGGCACTCACCACCATTTGTGAAAAACTTGCCTTGTATATCTCTTTTAAACTCCACCCACCCCCACCCTGAACTTGTGTCCCCTAGTAATTGACCCCTCCATCCTGGGAGAAAAGCCTCCTACTTTCCTTTCTATCCATGCCATTCACAATCTTATAAACTTCTAACAGATCGCCCCTCAACCTGCGTTCCAGTGAAAACAAACCCAGTCTATCTGAAGTTCTATAAAGCTGCAGTCTAACTTGCTTATCCTTATACTCAATGCCCCTTCCAATGTAGGCAAACATGCCATAGGCCTTTATTACCTTATCTACCTGCACTTCCACCTTCAGTGATCTGTGGACCTATGCACATGGATCTCGCTGTATATCAATACTCGTAAGGGTTCTGCCATTTACTGTACAATTTCAACCTGTACTTGACCCTCCAAAATGCATCACCTCACATTAGTCTGGATTAAACTGCATCTGCTGCTTTTCTGCCCATGCCTCCAACTGAACTTTATCCTGCTGTATCCTCTGACAATCCACCTCACTATTCACAACTCCATCAATCTTCCTATCATTTGCAAACTTGCGAATTAGACCAGCCACGTTTTCCTCCAAATCAATTATGTAGACCATAAACAATGAGGTATAAGCACTGATCCCTGTGGAACACCATTAGTCACAGCTCTCCATTCCAAAAAGCATCCATCCACCACTACCCTCTGTCTCCTATATCTAAGCCAGTTCTGTATCCATCTTGCCAGCTCACCCCTAATATCATGTGACTTCACCTTTTGTATAATTTGCCATGAGGGACCTTGTCAAAGACTTTATTGAAGTCCACATAGACAACCCTCAATCATCTTTATCACCTCCTCAAAAAAACTCGATCAAATTACTGAGGCATGGCCTCCCTTGTCCAAAACCACACTGTCTAGCGTTAATAAATCCATTTGCTGCTAAACGCGTATCGATCTTGTCCCTAAAAATCTTTTCCAATAACTTCCCTACCACTGACACGAGACTCACAGGTCTGTAATTTCCTGGATTATCCCTGCTGCTCTTAAACAATGGAACTATTTTGGCTATTCTCCAGTCCTCTGGGACCTCACCTGTGGCCAAAGAAGATACAAAAGATGTCTGTTAATGCTCCAGCAATTTGTTCTCTTGCCTCCCACAATATTCTGGGATATATTTCATCAGGAATGGAGACTTATCCAGCTTAATAAAAGGTAGATTTATTGTATCCCTAATTGCCCAAGAGAAGGTGGTGGTGAGCTTCCTTCTTAAACCATTGTGGTCAATGACTTGCAGGTACAAATCCAGTACTATAAGGGAGTTTCAGTATTTTGACCCAGTGACAGTGGAGTAATCGTAATATAATTTCCAAGTCAGGATAGACTGTCGTTTACAGCAGAACTGCGTGGTGTTCTCATGTATCTGCAGCCTGCGTCCTCCTTGAAAAGTGCTGTCAAAGGAACGCTGATGAGTTAGTGCGGTACATTTTTTAGATGGTATACACTGCTGCCACTATGCATCACTGGTGAAGGCAGTGAATATTTAAAGTGGATACGGTCCAAATCCAACAGCTTTTTGATTCCCGTCACCGCATTAGGCTAAGGTCATGGGGATGGGCAGGAAAGTGGAGTTAGCACTACTGTCAGATTAACCATAATTTGAATTATTTGCAGATCAAGCTCAAGGAACCGAACAACCTACTGTCACTTCTATTTGTCATGATCTTATCCGCTGTAAAGTCCACTGGTTGATTCTAGTCAGGAATCACAGAAGGAAGTGCAAGTTTGGCATTACTATTTTAAATGATTAGCACAAAGCAGCACTTTGGCTTAGTGCTAGGGTCATTTAAACAATCCACTCAAATCTGAAGCAATTGATTCCCACATCAAGACAACACACACAGTTGTGCAAAGTAATGCAGGGCCATAGTTTTGATCATAGTTAAAGTTCTAAGGTTGGTGCTTTTTTTAAAAATTCATTCATACTTGACATCGATACTAACACTATAATTCAGTGGTCACACTACTCAGTCCTTTGGTAGGCAAAGGATCTTTTTGGTTTGACAAAAGCATCCTGTTAATGGGAAACAGCACTCACGTCATTACTACACAGTAGAAGCTTCACTTGTTGGTCAAACTTTTGAGATGCCTCCCCATCCTTTCCCACATAATCCGAGATACACTGGTCACTTTTGAAGGCCAAAATGACAGCCTTATTGCTGTTCACGAGTGTACGTGATACAGTTCGAAATGGCAAACTTGGATGCACTGGTTCAAATGCCTATTAACTTCATTTCACAATGAAATAAAAGTCAAGATCCGGTTGTAGAATATCCAGATTGAACAACAACAAAAGATTTTTGTACAGCTTACCAGATCCCAATAATTTAGTATGCACTGTCTCATGGAAGATTACGACTGATGGCCCCAGGGTAGATAATGGAACATCCAATCCACATCTTGCAGTGGTAGCTTTCAACTCCTTTGTAAAATGTTTAAGGTAAGCTTCAGATGCGTCACTGAGAAACTTAAAGAGGTCATTGTGTAATCTGTCTGCACGAGTTCTGTAAATAATTATATCAGATATAGCAAGTACTTTGAGTAGCAATCTTGTTCTTTGACCAAGGTTGGCAGTTGCTCCCAGTAAGCCTTCAGTATCAATGACAACAATACGACGAACAGGATCATACGCTGCCCACACACCGACTGTGCAGGATTCCTGAGCAGGGGAGGTCTTGAAAACTTCATGCCCATAGAAAAAGGTATGATTAAGGGTATGAGATTTGCCATCACCCGTGTTGCCAAAGATTGAAACTACTTTGAGGTTTTCATCTGTTTTGCAGCCAAGTTTCTGAATGAATTCCTCTTCATCTGCCACCTAATAAATACAGTTGCCAAACTGCGATTACTACTGCAAATTCAACTAAAATGACAGGATTTCATATTTGTATGAAAGCAACATGTAACAATGTATTTCAGACTTGAACATTCCTGGAACAAAACTTAAGTATCTATTTTTGAAAAATAAATGCATCCCCAAATCATCATTCACCACATTTTCCTGAGCTGCACAGCGTTGACTAACATGATACCAACCCTCCACTCATGCAGAACAAACTATCATATAACTCTATTTAACACCACATAGTCATGCAGGCAAGATGAGGTGGATTGGCCGTGAGAAATTGCCCCATAGTGTCTAGGGATGTGCAAGCTAGGTGGGTTAGCCTTTGGTAAATGCAGGGTTATGGGGATTGGGTAAGAGGTAGGATGCTCTTCAGATGGTCAGTGCAGATTCAACAGGCCAAATGGCCTCTATCTGCATTGTTGACATTCCAGGATTCTAAAAGTCCCCGGTCCTAAGAGGTAGCAACAGAAAAAAATTGATGCATTGGCTTTAATTTTCCAAAAAAAAAAACTTTGAATTTGAGAGAAGTACTGGAGGATTGGAAATCTGCCAATGTGATCCTTCATTCAAAAAAGGGAGGGTGGCAGAAACTGGGGAGCTATAGGCTGATTAACCAAACATGCATTGGTGGAAAAGTTTGGACTCACTTAAGTAATAGCAGAACATTTGGAAAATCATAATTTAAATCAGGCACAGTCAGTACAACTTCAATTGTGTTTGACTAATTTATTTGAGTTTTTCAAGGAAGTCTTAGCCGGAGTGGATAGAGGAGAACCAGTAGATGTTGTGTATTTGGATATACAGAAGGCATTCAAAGTACCTCACAAAAAGTTAAGTCGTAAGGTAAAAACCCATGGTTTTCAAGACATTATATTGGTATGGCTTGAGAATTGGCTAATGGGTGGGAAGTGCTGAGTGGGGATAAGGGATTCTTTTTCAGACAGGCAACTGTAATCAATGGAGTTCCACAGGGATGAGTGGTGGCACTGCAATTGTTTACAATACATATTAATGACTTCGAAGAAGGATCGAATGTACTGCAGCCAAATTTGCTGCTTACACAAATAGAGTTGGAAATGCAAGTTGTGAGATGGATACCAACAGTTTACAGAGAGATAGGTTAAGTAAGTGGGCAAAAAAAATTGGCAAATGGAGAATAATGTGGGAAAATATGAGAAAAATCTGAAGGTAGAACAAAAGAACAGAGTATTATTTAAATAGAGAAAAAAACTGCAGAAAGCTACAACAGAGACTCGGGGATCCTCGTGCACAAAACATAGACAGATAGCACAGACGTTCAGCAGGTAACAGAAGACCTTGGAATGCTGGCCCTTATAAGAGTAGAGAAGGCTTCCTGCTTCAAGGTGCAAGATGCTGGTGAGACCACATCTGGAGAACTGTTGACAATTTTGGTCCCCTTATTTACGAAAAGGCAGTATTTTATTAGAGGCAGTTCAGAGAAGATTCACAAAGATTATCCCTGCTATAGATGGATTGTCTTATAAGCAAAGATTGAGAACATTGGGACTCTATTAATTCAAATTCCTCTTCATTCTGGGTGATCACTCTGGTCTGGATTCTCTAATATTAAAGTCTCTATCAATTATGGTGTAAACTGCACAAATCAGAAAAACTTCTCATTCACAAAGTTAGCGAATCCACATCCACTGCACAAGCTTGTTCCTTCCTTTATATTCTTTCATTAGGAGTGGGCAGGATCAATATTTGTTGCTCATTCTGAACTGCCCTCAAGAAGATGGCGGTGAGCTCTCTATTGGTGCAGTCTGCAGCCCAAAGGCCTACTGTTCTGGCAAAAAGACCCCCCCACCGATAAAAAATCTAAAGCTAGCCTTAGACAAATGTGACTCCTGGTCTAAGTAGTCAAAACAAACCATAACACAATCTATTTGCTTCTGCCCTACATCTACATAATGGGGAAGTTTGAAATGAGGGGTTTTGGTTCTATGTAAACCCTCTTGGTATCCTTGCAAAACTTTAAAATTAATACCTACATGAGGGGAATAAAACAGGAGACAGTAGTAGCTCTGCTGTAACACGATTGATGAATAGTGGACTCTGTTTGGATAATGCAAACTTTCTGCTGTACAGGTGTAACGATTTTCTACAGTACGAGGTCACATAAGAATGCAACAATCGTGTTATAGGAGAACAGCCTGTGTCCAATTGAGGTTTGCCATGGTCTCATACAAGATCAAATAATAAGCTTTTGCCTTACACAGTCAACTGTGCTACAAGTACAAGTACAAGTACAAGCACATTTTAGGGCCCCATCACTCAGCTTATTGTTTTAGGGCACTGTTCATGAACTTTAGAGTTCCAGCCACTGTGATATCCCGATCTCTCCATTCTAATGTTATTTACTGTCCTGAAAGCTACACTCAGCATTTGTCCTGAACATGTGCATAACGCTACATCATTCACAGATAAACCCTGTCTTGCCCCTGGATTAACATCACGTCAGCCATGAGCCCAATCCTCTATAAATCAAGACCACAAAAAAATGGTGGAAATCACAGCAGGTTCCGCAGCATCCTGGTGAGAGAGCAGGTTAACGTTTCGAGTCTAGATGACTCTTCATCAGAGGTCTGACGAAGCCTATCCTCCTTGATATCGCAAGATGACATAGGCGGCTCGTCCATGACAGATGGTATTTGATCCAGATAATTGTGAGGTGATACATTTGGGGAGGACAAACAAGGCAAGGGAATACATCATAAATGGTAGCACCCTAGGAAGGGGTGAGGATCACTGAGGACTTGGTGTGCATGTACACTAGCCCCTTAAGGTATCAAGACAAGTGGATAAAGGGGTTAAGAAGGTATATGGGATACCTGTCTTTATTAAACAAGGAATAGAGTTTAAAAGCAGGAAGATTAATTGAATTATAAAAAAAAATGTTGGTTAGACTAGTGTTGGTGTATTGTGTGTAGTCCTGGAATCCACATTATATGAGTGATGGGATAGCACGGGAGATTTACTCTCAAGCCTAGGCAATGTCTGGGTATCCGTTACAAAGTGAGATTGGACAGACTAGCACCTCATCTTTACCATGGACGTCCAGTCCCTCTACACCTGCATTCCCCGTGCAGATGGCCTTAAGGCCCTCCGCTTCTTCCTGTCCCGCAGGCCCGACCAGTCCCCCTCCACTGACACCCTCATCCGCTTAGCCGAACTCGTCCTCCCCCTCAACAACTTCTTTTTCAATTCCTCCCACTTCCTACAGACAACGGGGGTGGCCATGGGTACCCGCATGGGCCCAAGCTACGCCTGCCTCTTTGTAGGTTACGTGGAACAATCCCTCTCCCGTACCTACACCGGCCCTAAACCCCACCTCTTCCTCCATTACGTTGACGACCGTATCGGCGCCGCCTCGTGCTCCCACGAGGAGCTCGAACAGTTCATCTACTTCACCAACACCTTCCACCCCAACCTTAAGTTTACCTGGACCATCTCTAACACCTCTCTCCCCTTCCTGGACCTCTCTGTCTCCATATTGGGCAACCACCTAGAAACCGATATTCATTTCAATCCCACTGACTCCCAAAGCTACCTAGAATACTCCTCCTCCCACCCACCTTCCTGCAAAAATGCTATCCCCTATTCCCAATTCCTTCGCCTCCGCCGCATCTGCTCCCAGGATGAGGCATTCCACTCCCGTACATCTCAGTTGTCCTCATTTTTCAAGGACCGCAACTTCCCCCCCTCAGTGGTCGAGAACGCCCTCAACCGTGTCTCCCACATCTCCCGCAACTCGTCCCTCACACCCCGTCCACGCAATAAGAACCAAAAAAGAATCCCCCTCGTCCTCACGTACCACCCCACCAACCTCCGGATCCAACGCATCATCCTCCGACACTTCCGCCATCTGCAATCCAACCCCACCACCAAAGACATCTTTCCCTCCCCACCCTTATCTGCTTTCCGGAGGGACCACTCTCTCCGTGACTCCCTTGTCCGCTCCACACTCCCCTCCAGCTCCACCACACCCGGCACTTTTCCCTGCAACTGCAGGAAGTGCTACACCTCCCCCCATACCTCCATACCTCCTCCCTCACCCCCATCCCAGGCCCCAAGAAGACTTTCCACATCAAGCAGATGTTCACCTGCACATCTGCCAATGTGATATACTGCATCCGCTGTACCCGGTGTGGCTTCCTCTACATCGGGGAAACCAAGCGGAGGCTCGGGGACCGCTTTGCAGAACACCTACGCTCGGTTCGCACTAAACAACTGCACCTCCCAGTCGCGAACCATTTCAACTCCCCCTCCCATTCCTCAGACGACATGTCCATCCTGGGCCTCCTGCAGTGCCACAACGATGCCACCCGAAGGTTGCAGGAACAGCAACTCATATTCCGCTTGGGAACCCTGCAGCCCAATGGTATCAATGTGGATTTCACAAGTTTCAAAATCTCCCCTCCCCCTACCGCATCCCAAAACCAGTCCAGCTCGTCCCTGCCTCCCTAACCTGTTCTTCCTCCCACCTATCCCCTCCTCCCACCTCAAGCCACCTCCATCTCCTACCGACCAACCTCATCCCGCTCCCTTGACCTGTCCATCCTCCCTGGACTGACCTATCCCCTCCCTAACTCCCCACCTACACTCACCTTTACTGGCCCCATCCCCACCTCTTCGACCTGTTTGTTTCCTCTCCACCTATCGTCTCCTCTATCCATCTTCTATCCGCCTCCCACTCTCGCCCTATTTATTTCAGAGCCCCCTTCCCCTCCCCCTTTTCTGATAAAGGGTCTAGGCCCGAAACGTCAGCCTTTCTGCTCCTATGATGCTGCTTGGTCTGCTGTGTTCATCCAGCCCTGCACCTTGTTGTCTTGGACAGACTAGGATCGTTTTCCGTTGAGAGTGGAAAGTGAGAGGAGTCATGATTGAAATGAACAAAACTGTGCAGAACATAAATAGGGTAGACCAGAAAAAAACTTTTCCCTTTGATGAAGGAGTCAATGACCGCATAGATTTAAGGTTGGGGCAGAAAGTTTAGAGGTGACGTGAGGAAGTTTTTTTCCCCCACTCAGAGGGTGGTGGGAATCTGGAACTCACTACCTGAAAGGGTGGTACAGGCAGAATCCTGGATAACATTTAAGAAGTATTTAGACTGGCATGGACATAATGGGCCAAAGGGTCCTTTTCTGCACTGTTAATTTCTATTATTCTATCCTTCCTCAAATAAGGGGGTGATAGATATAGGACAGATGTCAGAGGTAGGTTCTTTACTCACGAGAGTAGTAAGGGCGTGGAATGCTCTGCCTGCAAAAGTAGTTGACTCGCCAACTTTAAGGGCATTTAAATGGTCATTGGATAAACATATGGATGATAATGGAATAGTTTAGGTTAGATGGGCTTCAGATTGGTTTCACAGGTCGGCGCAACATCGAGGGCCGAAGGGCCTACACTGCGCTGTAATGTTCTATGTCCTTCTAAGTAGTCTCACGGCTGCCTTCCCTGCTTTTGTACTCCGTCTCCTTGCCAACCAAGGGCACTGAATTCTAGTTACTACCTTATCCGAGATGTCCCCACTTCCCCCTTTGGCCCATCCGCCCCGTTATTAAAGGCTTCCTTCACCTGGATCTGTTCCTGCTCATCCACCAGGAGGAAGCTACTGGCAGTTTGGCTCCTCAGCCTATCGAGTTCTCGGTGCTCTTTCTGGTCCTCCCCGAGTCCGGCCTCGACCTCTGGCTGCGGGTAGTTATTGACCGGATGCTTGCGGCGGTTCGAGTGGCCCCGGCGGTGGCACTCGGCGCACACGTTGACCTTGCAGGCCAGGCAGCGACAGCAGGCCCGGCGCCGGCCCCCGCTCGGTTTGTTGCTGTTGCACTGGTCACAATACGGGAGGTGTCCGGGTTTCAGGCGGCTCCTTTCATGATCCCTGAGTCGGGGCTGGCTGTGCAACTCTCGCTCACACACCGCACACTGTAGACTACCGCACTCATCACACTCAAAGGCCGCCTCCGAAGCGCTACACGCGTAACTCTCCTGACAGCGGAGCAACTGATCAAGCCCGGCAACCAAACCCGAGGCCCCGGCACCGCTCATCCTCCTCCCCCTTTTCAACCGGGCACCGACATCCGAGCCGAGACAACGAAACAGCTGATCCGAGGCCCCTGTCAATCGTCAGTCGGCCTCGGGCTCGGCTCCTCTCGGTGGGTCACACGCATTCGGGTTCGGCTCTTTTCGGCGTGTTCACCCGCATTCGGGTTCGGTTCCTTTCGGCGTGTTCACAGGCGTTCGGGTTCGGCTTGATGCGGATTGAATGACCCAAGTGAGCAATTGATGCAATTTAATCGTCAATCTTGTTGGCCAAGGAGATGAATGTGATTGTTTTCAAAAAAACCTCTTGATCTATACGAAACCACACGGCTGAACTTGCATAACCTCAGGTTTTCTACATCTGAGGTGCATATCTAGAGACCTTTTCAATAAGTGGAGGGTTTCTGCTTTTATGCAATGTTACAGGCCATGAGCTCCAGACCCCTTACACGCTGTGGGGAAATAAAGTATCTTCAAGTCCTCTCTACTCCATCTCCCAATCACTTTAAATCTACATCCCCTAGTCACTGCTTCCATAGTTTAGGTAAGTGAAACTTTGCAAAAATCAAGGAGAAAAACATTTCTTTTTAGTCTTTGCTCATAGCTGCATGTTTCTTGTCTTGGAATTCGCCATACCATTCTAGCACAATAACAACCTGTCATGCGGTGACTAGTACTGCACTCATAATATCACCCAAATCGTGGCCGAACTCTTATATTCTGTACCTCAACTAATAAAGTATTCCTCATGCCACCTTAACCATCTTTTTGATCTGTTATTTGGAACATTTGTAGGTGTGTCTTGTCCGAGTCTGTACATCACTCCTCGACATTTTAGAATACCTCTAGTAGCAAACCACTGATGTTATAATGTGGAGGTGCCGGTATTGGATTGGGGTGGACAAGGTCAGAAATCACACGACACCAGGTTATAGTCCAACAGGTTTATTTGAAAACACAAGCTTTGTGAGCCTGACTCCTCCTTCAGGTGTTAGGCAGAAGAGTGTGTTTAGACCAACTGAGGAGGGTAATGAGATTCACCAATTTGGAACGTGGAGCTGAGTGCTGTTTGGGCTAGTTGTCCGAGGACATTAATATCATTTGTTATACATCTTGTTGAAATACCCAAACCCATTACAATTACTTACCGCGCAAAGGCCTGATTCAAGGTCATTATTACTCATCACCATTACTTAATTTTTCTTAGTTTTTTTTTTAAATTTTGTTTTGTCTTTTCTTACTACTGCCATGGTGGTGCTGAAATCGCATGTCCTGAAACTTGTCACCATGCTCTGGCACTGTGGCATAAAGCTGGGAGGTTCCGTCATCTTTTCACCTGTCATAGAGTCATACAGCATGGAAACAGACCCTTCAGTCCAGCCAGTCCATGCCGACCATAATCCGATGTAGCAGTTCAAGTGTCAGGATCATTGTGAGTCTTGACATTTCTTGGGTGAATGACTTATACCATTGCATAACAGGGAACTGCATGAGACTGTTCAACTCAAGCTACTTCCCTGTACACCCATCACAAAGTCATAGTGTCTAGGCTAAGAGCCCCTTGTCAGTTCCTTAATCTCTGGACCAAGATATTTATACTTCTGCCTTTTTCCCACCTAAGCTTTCTCCAGTCCCTTGTTGTTATCTTTATATCAACTGTCACAAAACCACCACGGTCATGTGCCCTTAAAAATCAAGTTGGGTTTCCACAGTGACCCATCTTGTCCTTCAGCCTCAGATCAATTTATGCTGGTACTTCCTGGTTCTCATAACTTTGTCAGGATCTTATTGTGGCATTTAATTCTTGCATTCTCATTAATGGACATTTTCCCAAAAATGTTTGTGCGTTTCTGATGGTCCCTCACATCTTGGACCATTTTTGAGTATGTGAGGTCGACTTTGATCAATTGAGTCAGTGGGCTGAGAGGTGGCAGATGGAGTTTAATTTGAATAAATGCATTTTGGTAAAATAATCAAGGGCAGGACTTTGCAAATTAATGGTAGGGCCTTGGGTAATGTTGTAGAACAGAGAGACCTTGGGATTCAGGTGCACAATTCTTTGAAGTTTGTGTCACATGTAGACAGGGTGGTTAAGAAGGCATTTAGCATGCTTGCCTTCATTGCTTGGACCTTTGAGTACAGGAGTTGGGATGTCATGTTGGGATGATACAGGACATTGGTGAGGCCTCTTCTGGAGTACTGTGTGCGGTTCTGATGTCCCTGTTATAGGAAGGATTTTATTAACCTGGAGAGGGTTCATAAAAGATTTACCAGGATATTGCCGGGAATGGAGGGTTTGAGTTATAAAAATAGGTTGGGACTTTTTTAACTGGAGCATTGGTGGTTGAGGGGTGACCTTATGGAGGTTTATAAAATCACGAGGGGCATAGATAAGGTGAATAGCAAGGGTCTTTTGACCAGGGTGGGGGAGTTCAAAATAGGGGTCATATTTTTAAGGAGATAAGAGAAAGATTTTAAAAGGACATGAAGGCCAACTATTTGACTCTGTGGTTCATGTGTGGAAGAAACTGCCAGAGGAAGTGATGGATAAAGGTACAGCTGCAGCATTTAAAAGACATTTGGATAAGGACATGAATAGGAAATGTTTGGAAGGATATAGGCCAAATGGAGGCAAGTGGGGCTAGTTTATTTTGGGAACATGGTGAATGTGGACTAGTTGGACCAAGGACATGGACTATTTCCATGTTTTATGTCTATGACCTGTGTTAGTCTAGTCCAAATTGGGTACAGATGACAGCATAGTAGAAAGCTGTTCATTAGCCAAGATGACTTGGTGTTACATGCTGAATTGATCCAGGTTTTGGAGACCCTATTGTTCTTGTAGCATCTGATTCCAGAGCCACTTAGTGAATTCCCACTCTCTCCACTCTAAGTAATTTCTCTCTGGCATTTCAGCTGTTAGTACTTGTTAGGAATCTAGGTGATCCATGGACACTTCTGCTTCTGGCATTATGTGCCTTTCCTTCTGTAGGAAGATCTCCGGTTTCTTCAGGATGTTGAGCTTGCACAGGTCTTTCATGACATCATTGTTACTTTTCCCACACAACTGAAATAAGACCTGAATCATCATGACCTTAAATGAGTCAAGTACTTTCCATTTCTGAATAACTGCAGCCGGGATCTGCACCTCGAGTTTTGACATGCCAAGCCCACCATCTTAGAGTATAAGAAGTTATCAGCTGTGTGTTGCAGGAGATGTAGGAACTGCTTAGTTGCATTCCAGATTGGGTGATCAAGTTTGCAAAGGGTGTTCTGTGATGTTTCTGTTTGGATCAGGTGATAATACAGCCTGGGATTTATATGCATCTTCAAGATCTCAACTTTCTGCATCGGTTGGAGAGCAGCTGTTTGGCAGATTGGAGACCAGGTTCTTCAGTTTCTCCTCCCATTCACCCTCTGTCGCACCTGCCCATGGATCAATATAGGCACTTAGGTACCATTCTATCCCTCCTGGACTAATGTAAGAAATGATGTCTCCCTTTAATGTCTAGTTCTCTTCAAGATTATGTAGAAAGATTTATAGGTAAAGTTAAAGCTGTTGGTCTTTGTGATGTTTGTTGTAAATACTGTGTTAATGCAAAAACACTGGACCATCATTCCAGCATGTACATCACTTAAAAGGGCATTTATCATCTGCAAAGACCAAAGCAGAGCAGTTAATTCTCAGATTATTCAATGTCATGGAAATGCCTGAGTCTACCTTTTCCAGGGTGCACACCAATAGATCCAATACACTGTTGAAAAGGATTGGAGATGGGGAGTTGCCTTGTTTGGCTCCCTTCTCTCCATTTTTATCAGGTTGGTTTTTGACTGGTTGCCTTCTACCACTGTTATATTAATTGTGTACAGGTCTTCGGTCAGAGTATAAAATTTCCAGGGAGGCTGGCCCGGTGCAGAACCTTGATAAGCAATGTGTGATTGACAGAGTTGAATGTCTGTGTGACATCAACTGCAAGGTCCTTATGGTTTCGCTTGGTGCTCTTAATGATGTTTTCAGTGTTGTGGCCTGGCATCGCCCCTAGGAAACCCTTCTTCCAAGGGTTTATATATTTTGTCTCACTCAGTCTCTTTGCCATTATCTTCATTAAAAAGTGGAGCAGCATAGGACATATTGTGATGGGTTGCCAGTTGTTAATGCTTTTCACACAACTTGCCTCTTCACTCTTTGGTGTTAGGAATGTATCACTATTTTTCAGGGAGTTTGAGATGGGGCTCAATTTTAGCCATCGGGTGAACAGACAGGGTAGTCGTGTAGTATTACCATTGTGAATGCCCAGGGTGTTTTCCAATCTCATCCCATCTGGCCCTGTCCCACTCTTAGAATCCCATCCCTTGATGGTCACGTTGACCTACACTTTTTCAATTGGCCTCATTAATTGTCCTGACAATCATCGATTGTCCTGAATATTGGGCGAATTATTTGGAACTGAGAATTTTGTGTTGCAATTAAGTTCAAGTTCCTTTTTGGACAGAAAGCACAGAGTTGTGACTAACGCACCCATGATCTGATGTGCCAGCTTGTGTCTGTTCTTTTTGTAAACTAGCTTTTTCTGTGAACAGGTCTTTTTGGGCTGTCCATCTTTGTGCTGATGTTTTTATCACCCTTCTTTCTCTTGAGCTTCCTCCACTTGCCTCTTGGCCCTTGAGTGTTTTGGGAGAATTCATCCCCAGTCCTTGGGGAGGCACGGTGGCTCAGTGGTTAGCACTGCTGCCTCACAGCTCCAGGGACCCGGATTCGATTCTCAGCCTTGGGCGACTGTCTGTGTGGAGTTTGCACATTCTCCCCGTGTCTGCATGGGTTTCCTCCGGGTGCTCTGGTTTCCTCCCACAGTCCAAAGATGTGCAGGTTAGGTGGATTGGCCATGCTAAATTGCCCATAGGGATGTGTAGATTAGGTGGGTTATAGGGGGATGGGCCTGGGTGGGATGCTCTGAGGTTCGGTGTGGACTTGTTGGGCGAAAGGGCCTGTTTCCACACTGTAGGGATTCTATGATTCTATCAGGAAGTCTGCAATGCTTTCTTAGTCCCAACCCTAATACTCTGACTTCAGGGTCACCTCGCACACTTGAAAGTTGTTCAGCCTGAGTTAGCTGGTCATCCACATCCTGATGTTTTAGATTGCAGGCTGGGGGCGG